CTGTACACAGGGATGCCTGAAAGATCAGGTGAAGTGGAATGCTGAGTTCAGATGCACATTCTCTCAGAACCCATGGTGAAACGCCATCTGGGCCAGCTGCTTTGTTCTTACTGAGCTCCTTTAGCATATTTTCCACTTCATCTCTAGACACCTCTATCCACTCTATGTTGTTCTCTGGAATTCTTATTGTGTCTGGTTCTCTGAAGATTTCATTTTGTACAAACACACTTTGGAACTTTTCATTTAATGTTTCACACATTTCCTTTTCATTTTCCGTGAATCTGTTTCCCATTTTCAACCTCTGGATATTATCCTTTACCTGCAATTTGTTGTTTATGAATTTGTAGAATAGGCCCGGTTGTGTTTTACATTTATCCGCTATCCCTTTTTCAAAATTTCTTTCTGCCTCTCTCCTTACTGCCGTATAGTTGTTTCTCGCATCTTTGTATCGCTGGTATGTTTGGGGGTTTGGCCTCTTCCCATACCGATTCCATTTTTGTGTCTTTTGGTCTCTTGCCCTCTCACAATTTCTGTCGAACCAATCCTGTTTTCTGGCCCTGCATCTCTGTTTTGGTATGAATGTTTGTGTGCCTTCCTCGTATATTTTTAAAAATTTGGCATACGTTTCATTTACTTCCCTGCCTAGCAACAATTCTGTCCAATTACACTCATTAAAAAAATTTTGAAGTTCCCCATAGTGTCCTCTCCTTAAATCGAGTTTATCAACTGTTTCAATGTCCCCATTTTCTTCTAGATGATATCTTAAAGAATAATCAATGTCTAACAGGACGTGATCACTCTTTCCCAAGGGAGGAAGGTACTGGATGTCAAATATCTCTTCTTCTTTCCTGGTGAATACTAGATCCAGTATTGACGGTACATCTCCTTCCCTCATTCTTGTGGCCTGCTTTATGTGTTGACACAAGAATGTCTCCAGAATGAGGTTCACAAATCTGCATGTCCAAAAGTCCTCAGTTCTTGCTTCATAGGCCTCCCAGTCTATTGATCTAAAGTTGAAGTCCCCCAGTATCAACAGTCGTGATTTATCTTTATCTGCTTGTACAATAATATCTCTCATGACCATTATGAGGCCCTCTCGTTTGTCATCCAGTTCTTCCTTTGTCCATGTGTTGCTTGCTGGTGGGCTGTAGGCATTTACAATTATCAGCTTATCATCCTGATTCCAGACCTGCAATGCCATTATGTCAATATCTCGAGGGTTTTCAAATATTAACTCTCTTACCTTCAGGTGTTTTTTCACCAGTACAGCCACTCCTCCTCCCTTCCTAGTTTTCCTGTCACGTCTCCAAACTGAATAGCCTCTTGGGAATATGACTTCATTTATTATATTTACTTCAAGTTTCGTCTCTGATAATGCAACAATATCTGGGACCCTAAGCTGTATTATATCTTGCAACTCCAAAGTTTTTGACCTCACTCCACCTATGTTGGTATATACAATTTTCAGGAACATGTTCCCTTTTCCTTTGCTCTTTACTCCCCTTTCCACTACTGATCTTGTTGCTTTGTTTTTATGTACCATTTCACAAGCTTTCCAGTCCCTGTCACTTTGTAAAAAAAAAGAATTTCTGTCTTCTTCATTTCTATCCCCATTTAGACGTTTTGCCTCAATTAGGTTCATTTTCAGCTTTTCTCTGTCTTCCTTGGAGAGGTCTTGTCTTATTGACCAAAGTTTGCCAACCTCATCACTCTGCAATTTCCAAGCATTTCTTAGCACTTCCATCATGTTTTTTACTCCATTAAACGTCACCCTTAAGGGGCAGTTCTTTTCTTTCTCATATTTTCCTATTCTTCTAAAATCACTGACATTTTCCTTTGAGCCTTCTCCTAAACCTACTATTTTCTCTATGATTTTCATCTCTTCTGCCACTCGGTCCACCCAAGATGAAATTTCCTTCTCTAAACATCCAAAAATGATTATGGACTTAGTTCTATCTGCAGTGTTTTGTACCAGTTTACTGTTGGTAACCAGTTCTTTCCTAATTGCTTGCCTAATTTCTGCTTCTTGTTGGTCATTTCTGGTTTTGACTTCTGAGCACACTTCTTTGATAGTCTCTTTCTCTTTTACAACTTGAGCATATGTCGCTTTTATTTCTTCTTTATACTTTTCTAGTTCTTTATTCACCTCCTTTATGTGAGTTGTCAGTGAAGTTTCCAGTTGAAGATCCTTGCCTAACCCTATGTTAGCCCTTAGGCTCGCTTGGAGTTGTTCACCATATGAGTCTATTTTCTTGTTTATTTCTTCAAAGTCACCACACTTCACTTTCCACACCTCATTTTCTTTCACTAGTTCCTTGATTTGCTCCTCCTGATTTGTTACCTTATCTGTTAATGCAGTAATAATCTTACCTTGCTGAAGAATACTCCCTTTTAGAGTGCAAAGCTCACTCCTAAGAGCTCCATTGTCCTCTTCCCATTTAAGCACTCTTTCTTCATACTTCTTTTGCATATCCTCAATTATCTCTAACCTGCCAAGAACACCTCCTTTCATTATATCTTGTGGTGAGAATCCTTTGAAACCATCATCTGTTGGTGTGTCTACATTCCCAGTGGTGGTGGTGGCGGCGGCGGCGGTCATCTTTGTTTTTGTTCTAGAACCAAAACAAACTTTTCCACTCAGCTATTTTCACTCACTTTTACTTGTTTATTGTATTTTATTTGCTTTTACACTTCCCTGAACCATTATGTAACCGGGGACACCACTGTAGCCCTCAACCTGTTCCCAATACTTAGGTAATTCGATATTTCCAGGAGCTTGCTGCAGTGTGACTCCTGCCTCCTCCAGCACCACAGTCTCACACCCTTGGAGAACAGCTGCCACACACAAGGCACAGCGCCGTAAAAGTCTGGAACCAGAGCACACAACTGCTGCCTATAGCATCAGCCTCAAGAATTGGGGTGTAGATCGCCGGCACGGAAGGTCTGGAGCTTCCCCTTCCCCCTCCCGGGGAGGGGAAGCTGCGCAGTCGGCAGCGCGGCAACGGGTGACGTCACACTACTTTCCTCGTTTTTGTTTGGGGAGTTCTATCCACTTGTTCGGCTTTTGGTAGCAATATTTTCGCCAGAATAGGGGTTTGTTTTGGGATGCTTACCTTTCTGGGTGCCTGACCTGGTCAATGACATAGAATGCTTCCAACCACACGGGGGCTTCTACAGCATATTGCTCCCCTTGCCTCTCTGAGGGGGGCCAGGTTCTGGCCTTGGTCCCCAGTAGGCCCAAAGAACTCCATACACATGACTGATGCCAAAGTCTGACATTAGCATATCAGCCTGGATAGCTCCAGGAACTGTAGGGGCTCCCCCCAGAAAAAACATGTTTTTTCCCGTCACAGGTGAGGCATATATATAGTAGATATATAAAAAGCCGCGCCTATTTAATTGCAACGTTGTGTCAAAATTTCAAAGCAATCGGTAAAGAGGTTTCGAAGATTTCCCTCACATGAAAAACACAGTTTTTCAGAAAAAAACATGTTTTTTTTTACTGTGACAGACATGACATCTATATAGTATGTATATAAAAACCTGCTCGGATGCGAATGAAACGTTGTGTGAAAATTTCAAAGGAATCGGTGAAGAACTTTCGGAGATTAGCGATTTTGAACAAACGAACATTTACATTTTTATTTATATAGATGTGTGTATGTTGTATAATAACAGCAAAAACTGTTTTAATGAGCTAAGAATATAATATACCTGTCACTAGACATGAACACTATATTTCTGAGCATAGCAAAGTTTCACACATTTAACAGTTTCGTTGCCCGATCACACACATTCCATCATGGACCATCATGAGTAAAATACGGAGTATGCAGCATGACACGAACGGCGTCAATAATTAAAAATGTGTAAAAATTCCTTTGTCTAATTACTATGGGACTTGTTTTAAAATGAGTACCAATGTATTCCCATTCTCTGTATACCCCATGTGGCATCCTGACTCCACTATGTGGATGCCCACCCTACGCTGCAGGCTCACTTTTCTCGTGACCTCGCTCATGACAGCCACGGCCTTCCATGGAGTCAAAAAGTTTCTCCATTCTGTTTATTTTACCTCAGGTATTTGTTGTTACCGGCTATATAAAAACTGGAAATTGACTTCCAGATGGATTCTGATCAACAACAGAGCCAAGCCATGATGAAAGCAATGAAAGAAACACATATGAGGGAAAAGTTATTGAGTTTTTGTCGAAAGTATAGAGAAGTGAGACTTGTGTGTTCTTATATGCAAATACCCCATTACAGCATTCTATTGCAAACAATTTGATACCAAATTGAATGACATAGCACGGAAATTGAGGTGAGAAAGCTGAAAAGAGAATAAACATTGGAGTGGTGAGCTCTCGGGCAACGCTCGGGTTACCTTGCAGTGCCCGGCGGGTCTAAAGTATAGAAAAGTGAGACTTATATGTTCTTATATGCAGATATCCCTTTACAGCATTCTGTTCCAAACAATTTGATACCAAATAGAATGACGTAGCATGAAAATTGAGGTCAGTAAACTAAAAAAGCATAAACATTTGTGGGTGGGGCAAGTTCACGCAAACCGCTCAGCCGACCTTCAGGTGAGCAGCGGATCGCCTGCCGGGGCAGCGAAAGTGTTAACTATGTATAGAAATTCCTCAAATTACACACTATTGAATAATATTTCTGCAAACACTAAATATAAAAACAATCAAAGACAATGAAACAATTATGTAAACATGTATTTGCAGGAGCACACTACTGCTGACTAGTATTCTGTCAACGCCTGAATATTGCCACACTTCCTCGTCCCCATCACATTCAAAGTACGTCACATACAATATTTTCTTTTAGTTTCCGTGATCAGGGAATGCATTTTAACAATATTTGAATGAAAAAATTGGGAGGGGGGACAGGAATAATTTTTCTGGACACCAGTGACCTATTAAACTTCAGCACAGTACAGTGGTTAGTCTACATATTTAATTTCTTATGGTATAACAACAATTTCATACCATTCTCCTGGGCAAATCGTGAAGCTTCCATGAATGTCACTTGTCGTTCTTCCTCCAAGTCTTTTTTGTTCCCAACACACAGGATCATGATATTAGGAGACGCCAGAGTTCGTGCATCACCTAGCCAATTACCCAGAGCATTATAACTATCACGGGAGGTCAGGTCATATACCAATAATGCTCCAGCTGCTCCACGGTAGTAGGACCGAGTTACTGACCTGTTGACATACACCAATTATCATAATCAAGTAATGAAATCAAATAAATATATATACTGAAGCTGATTTTGTTTATCCCTACAGTATGTGTATGAGGTGTGCAAATCTACAAAGAAGCTTATTAACAAAGCTCACCTGTCCAGCTTTGAAAGTTTATCTAAGATACAATGGCTGGATTTGATACCTCATATAGCACTAAGATTGAGGCCAACTACATTTTGAGAGAGTAGAAAGACTCACTGCAAGATAAGCTTGTACCAAGTGATTGTGGATGCCATCAATTTGAAATCAGACTAAATCTAATCTATTGTCTATCTAGCTAATAGATTTAAATCTATTGTATGTTAAATTTTTTCAACTTAACAGTAAACATATGGGATAGATTAGTATAATAGTAAACACATGGGATAGATTAGTATAATAGTAAACACATGGGATAAATTGATATAATAGTAAACACTACTGTATTTGGGATCCGCACCTTACATAGTTTGCTCCATTAGAAACATAGCAGTCATAAAACTGTAAGGCACACAGTTTTATGACAGGTGGTCATGAAAGCTGCGGGAAGATCTCGGGCGTGACCACTGTCGTGCTCGAGATCTTCCTGCAGCTCTGCCTCTTACTAGGCTTGGATGAACCTTGACGAGGCTGGTTGGGTTCTGCCTCGAGTCTCTCACCGGTAGGTGGTTGGGTGGCTTCGTAGTTGGTGTCCCACCTACGCGCTTTTCTTGGCGGCAGTATGGGGTAATTTGACGGTCCTTCCCTTTCCTTCTGTCCCTTCTTAGGTGGCTGCATTTGTTGGCGTCGGCCTGGTTTTTCTGGTGGGGGTTGGGGCCCGTTGACTTGCCGCATACTGTCGCCTCGTTTTATGCGGCACTGGCGGAGCCGCTTCGGCTTGCTTTCGGTCTTGGTGTTCCATCTGCGCCATTCGTAGGCTGTCTCGTGTGTTGTTTCACCTCCGGCCTGTTCTTGCACTGCTTGGGCCATCCTGGTCTCTGGGCAGCATGCTCTTTCTTCTCCTCAGCTGGTGGTGGCCCCTTCGGTTCGGGTTTGTTTTGACGGCTCTTTTCCTGTTGGCGTTTGCCTCTAGGGCTCGGGTCGCTGAGCTTCTTGCTCTCCTTCGGTCATGGCATTTGTTTTATTCGGTTGCAGCCGTCTCCCTCTTTTCTGGCATGGGGTGAGGTTGCAGCGTTCCGGGGGGGTCCTTGGTTTGTTGGTGCTTAGTTGTTCGGGCCGGGGGTGCGTCGTGTTGTGTGTTCAGTTGCGGCCCTCCACTGTTATTTTGCGTGCCGCGGCTTCTGTGTCCTGGGCACGCTTTCGGTTGATCCGGTTCCGTTCTTCCCTGTTCACAGGAGAAAGTGTCCCGGGTCGTCCGCCGTGTTATTTCGGCTAGCCAGCCTGTGTTCTTTGCCCGTGGCGTTCGTGGTTTCGCTGCTCTTGCTGCCATCTTGGTGGCGTGTCCTTGCTGACATCAGGCATGGGGCTTTTTTGGCGGCCATACAGGGGCCTGGCAGCTCGTTGTCTCGTGTCGTTCCCAGGCTCGTTTGGGCCTGTGTCGCCTTGGGTTGGCGGTTGCAGCCAGTTGTTTCGCTTTCCGTTGAAGGGTGCATGGTGTTCGCCACCCGGATCCGTCCCTTTGACCTTCCTCTGTGGGTAGTTAGCTCCGGGGAGTCGACAGGGCTCCCCCAGAAAACCAGCGTTGAATTAGTGAAACTCCATTTTCTGGGTGAGACCTGGAGGCTCCCCGCCAAACCTCCTTTCCTCCCTCCGGTCGGCGGTTTTTCGCGTGTTTTGACATCCAGCCTCAGAACTGATGGGTGGATAGCAGGCATGAGAGGTCTGGGGCTTCCCCTTCCCCTTCCTGGGGAGGGGGGGAGCTGTGCAGACAGCACCGCGGTGACGTGTGACGTCATACTTGTTTGTTTGTTTTCTGCTGGGGAGTTCTATCCACAAGTTAGGCTTTTGGTACCAATTTTTACCAGAACAGGGGTTTGTTTTGGGATGCTTACCTTTCTGGATATTTGACCCGGTCGACGGGGAGGGGAGCCGACTGGGGCTCCCCTTCCCCCCTCTTTCTGAGGGGAGCCGACGGGGTTCCCCTCAGAAAACCAGTGTTGAATGTAATGAAATGCCATTTTCTGGGTGAGACCCGGAGACTCCTTGGAGCTTTCTAGGCTGATATGCTAATGTCAGACTTTGGCATAAGTCATGTGTATGAAGTTCTGTGGGCCTACCGGGGACCACGAGCCAGAACCTGGCCCCCTCGGAGAGGCATGGGGAGCAATGGCCTATAGAAACCCCCGTGTGGTTGGAAGCATTCTATGTCTGCCATTGACCTGGTCATGCATCCAGAAAGGTAAGCATTCCCTCCGAAAAACCTATTCCGGTGAAAATTGCTACAAAAAGCCAAACAAGTGGATAGAATTCCCCAAAAAGAAACGAGCAAACGAGCATGACGTCACACTTTACCGCACCACTGTCTGTGCAACTCCCCCTCCCCGGGAGGGGGAAGGGGGAGCCCCAGACCCCTGCGCCAGCCATTCACCCTTCAGTTCTGAGGCTGGACATCCAAACACCCGAAAAACTGCGGATTGGGGGGAGGGAGGGAGGGATGCCAGGGAGCCTCCAGGTCTCATCCAGAAAATGGCATTTCATTACATTCAACTCTGATTTTCTCGGGGGGAGCCCCTTCGGCTCCTGGAGCTAACTACCCACATAGGAAAATTACAGGGATTTACCCAAGATGCAGTCGCTGCTCACTCCTCAACCCGAAGTCGAGACAACTGGCCGCAACTGCCGACCCAAAATCGACACAGGCGCGATTAGGCCCTGGAACATTCACGAGGTAGCACGCAGCCAGGCCCCTGTTTGACCACCAAAATCCCCACGCCCGAATGTCAGCCCAGGACATGTTGCCAAAGACGGCAGCAAGAGCAGTAAACTTACAAATGTCATGGGCATGGGGATAAACCGCAGGCTGGCTAGCCTTAATAATCTTGCGGACGACCTTGGAGACCCACACCCGTGAACAGGGAAGGAGGGAAACCGAATCAACCCAAAGTGCGTCCCCAGACACAGAAGGCCGTTACAAGTAATGGTGGAGGGCCGCAACTGAACACAAAGGATGATGCACCCCCGGCCTGACCAACCAAGCATCGACAACCCAAGGAGCCCTCCAGAAAGCAACCGTCTCATTCTTTGTCAGAAAAGGAGGACATGGCTGCAGACTAACAAACCGATTGCCACGACCGAAAGAGCAGAAACCCCTGTGCCGGAGGAGAGCACGAAGTTCACCGACCCAACCCCGAGAAGCCAATGCCAACAGGAAAAGAGCCTTCGAGAAACAATCCTGAACTGAAGGGGCCACAACAAACCGATGAGAAGAGAGAAAGGAGAGCATGTGGTCCAAAGACCAGGATGACTCAGGCGGCGCATGTGCAGGCTGGAGGTGAAACAACGCACGAGATAGCTTGTGAAATGGCACAGAAGTAACATCAATACCGAAAGCAAGCTGAAGTGGCTTCGCCAGTGCCACACGATACGAGGCGACACTATTCGGCATAAGATAACGGTCCTGGAACAACCAAGAGAGAAAGGACAACACCACCCGAACCGACAGTGAAGCACAATGACCAAGAGTCAAAAAGAAATGGAAGGAACGGCAGGAAACTTCATACTGCCTCTGAGACAAAGCCTGCAAGTGGGACACTAGCAAGGAAGCCCCCTGATCACCATAGAGATGATGATAAACTCAAGTAAAAAACACCATGCACGAAGACTTGAGGAGATCAAACCAGCCATGTGACTTACCAGTTCGATCTGCTGGAAGAGGCGGAGCCGCAGGAAAACCCCCGGGTTCAGACACCGAGCAAGCAGCGCCTGAAACCACGGCTGGGCCGGCCACCATGGGGACAAGAGGACTACTCTTCCCTGGTACGTCTCCAAGCAAGCCAGGACCTGGAGCAACAGCTGACCCGGGGAAGGAAGGGGGGGTGAGAGAGGTACAGGAACCCCCGCCTTGACCAGTCCTGCCGAAAGGCATCGACCCCAACGGCTTTGCAGTCTGGGAAGGGCGCCACACACAGCGAAAGGTGCCGCGACCACGCTGACGCGAAGAGGTCCACCTCAGAGCGTCCGAATGTCTGGCAGAGCCAATGGAAGGAATCGGCGTCGACCATCCATTCCATGGACAGGGGAACAAAACGAGACAGGCCAACGAAACGAGACAGGCCATCCGCCAAGACGTTGAACACTCCCCAAATGCAAAGTGCCAGGAGAGCCAAACCCTGAGAACTCAGCAGACGAGTCACCCGAAGCAACCAAAGCCAAAGAGCCAAGGACCTCATCAAACCCCCTCGGTTCAGGCAATGAACCACCGGGGAGCAGTCCAAATTGAGCCGGATTGTCAATCCACAGGCAACCCAAACCCTCCGAAGAGCAAACCACAACACTACAAACACCATGCTGCGGGCCCGACGGAAGGACAGACCCCACCGCCCCTGGCCGGCCTGGTGAGCACTGGTCACGAAGCTCCAGCTGAGAGACAACGCGTCTGTGAACACATTGAGCGAGGGCTCGGGCAGGCGCCAAGGCACTGAACCCCAAAAAACTTGAAGAGGAAGCGGGTGACGCAGCAGCTGACGCAAAGCCCCCGGGGGCCGAACCCAGCGATCGCGAGAGAGGCGGAAGGGACGTCTCCGAAGGAACCAGAATAGCCGACCAAGTCAAACCCGACCCGGCGGGTAGACCATCATCGCAAAGTTCAAGCTCCCGCACAGACCCTCGAGCAACCGTCGGGTGACTCAGGAGCCCCCAGAAACAGGCACATGTGGGACCGCAGCTGCAGGAGACACTCCGGAGGAAGAGACAAGGAAGCGGTCCGAGAGCCCCACACAAGGCCCAGCTATTTCCGAATCTGGTAAGGAACCAGATGGGACTTCCTCCAGTTCACCAAGAACCCGAACTGGGCAAGCTGAGAAAGAACCAAATCCCTGGCC